CAGGCGAAATTTGCAGAGATAAACAATATGGTATAGCTTTAATAACCAACTGGCATCTGCAGTGGTGACACTTAGGTGTGGGTAATGAAAACAAGTAACCAATCGACATTCTTCACAGGCTCGAATGGAACTGCATCCTAATGAAATATATCTATAATACCCTTGATAATTATAACTTCCAAAAGTATAAAGGACTCAAGTGTCAGTTTTTGTCTTCGAAAGGAAACTACATATAATCATCCAACTCATGCCTGCTCTAACTTCAGCTAATTCAAGAGCAATTCCCTGAAAAACTAAATAACCTGCAACAACTCCATCTAGTTTGGAGATTCATCATGTTAACACAACAATCATGAAGATCCAAAGAATTTAAACGGTTGCTTCTAAAATCCCTTGTCAATCTTGAGCATATCTAATTAGAAATGACCTAAAAAAAACATAGAGCTTGACTCTAAAAATGCTGATGTTAAACTCCAGATATTGAGAAAGATGACAACAAAAAGAAAGTTGAGTAAGAACCAACCAGAAAACTGGCTAAAACCAAGTTTATGGAACAATGTTAGGCACAATACCTAATATATTGGTAGAAGCTATCTTGCCAAACAATAGATTGATATAAGCAGTCACTTTCAACCAGTCTAAGACAAACTTCTTGGAGAAAGTAAAGACACTTACATCCAGAGCATTTGTTCCTTTATCCATCAAATCAAGCTTTGTCAACACGCCAAAGGTCCGTTCTCCGGTATATAGGATGCATCAATAGTGAAAAGAACCAAAAATTATTTCCAAGAATACAGCCAATAGGTTAAGACGAGAGAGTGACGAAGCAAGTTTGTTAAAACTCTACCACAGAAATTACCTGCTGGATCAACTTCTCGTGCAATCTTGATAGCATCAGATGTTGCAAGATCTTGATTGGCAGGAGTTATGGCCAAGATGATTGTATTTGGCTACAACCAGAAACAATATGATCAGCAATCAAATGCAAATACAAACTGCAATTTTGTCCAAAATCGACAAATTCTGTTCTTCAATTCCAGTTCAAGGGTGTGCTAAAGGTTAAGAAAATTCCAGTGAAGAAGAATCTTCTGTCATTATATAAAATGACACTTCATGCTTACAAGAAGCTGCTTATCATGTCTCCAAACTCAGAAGTTACCTTCATATGCTTCCAAATCTTATAAGGAGAGTCATTTACCGAATCAAACTAGATAAAAAATGATAATGAGTGGCACACCCAAATCAAAGTGCTTCAGTTTTAGTATAAGCATCAATCAATAGGATCAGAAGAGTTCTCTGAGATTTAGCTATTCAATGAGAGTATTTTCCACAAAATATGACAGCATCGTTCTACCTTCTCTACATATGAGCGAACCATATTTTCAATTTCTTGGACTATGCTTTCATGCTGTCCCTCTGCAAACGCAAACTTGTAAGTAAGACATAATGATTGTGCAACAAAGAATAACAGAAAATTAGCAAAAAAAGAATGACATACCCACAGCAGCTTTGGTTAAACCAGGTAAATCTACCAAAGTTAAATTTACAACTGCAAGTAAAGAAATTAAGCGAAAGGAAAAGATATTGTTAGTGAAGGAATGAGATAATAATATGAAGAAAACCAGAACTGCAAAATTAAGGATCACCAAAGTAAGAAATCAATATCTTAAACCATAATCGCCAAAAGTTAAGAAATCATGAAAGATTTCTCAAATTAAAACGCACCATTAGGGGAGTAGATACTGAGATTAATGGGCAGCGCAGAGATCTGCTTAGCTTTCCCAGTCACCCTGTCAGTTTCTTCCTGAATCTCTTTCCCAACGATGGCTTCACAAGAAAAGCATAATGAATCAAAATGAACATGCTACTAGTGTACGGGTGTGCAAAAATGTCTTTTATGAAGGTTTTTCACTCCACTTAAAGAAATGGAAAAACCACTAGGAAAAAAATCTAAGATGATAAAATGTCTACCAGTGGTAAGGCACTGTTACTTTCAAATGACGCAGATATGGCTATGTTGCCACGTCACCAAGGCAAAAGCTGACAGCTAATCAGAAAATAAACAGATCATCCTATTCTGCAGTTTAATGAATAAAAAGAGGCAATTCATGCAGCCTTACACCTGCAAGTTAAGCAGCTTCGTTGCATTCAACTAGTGATTTTCATTTCACTCTCAAAACTATCCAATGCATTTACAATATTCACAACATTACCATTTAAAACAGCAGAAGAAAATAACTTACAAAAGTCTATGAATTTTTTCTCTCCAGTATGAAGAAACTGTGCATAATCCTCTTTTCCAGGATCTATCTTGTAGAGTTGCAGTATCAGAGGCCTTCTCGTTACAATCCTACAAGCATTATAAATTAAAAACCCATAAGCATAATTAGTCGCTCCGAAGAACACTAAAATCAGGAAAATTGAAGCAAGGGGAATAAATGATAGACATTTGCTCTGTTTAAGAGCTGTGATGCATTCAAACTTCATTCTTAATTTCCTCAAACTCCCTCAGCAAGAATGACGCTGGTAGTTAATGATGTGAAATCCATTAACAACACGCGATGGCCTCTCGCATTTAGTATTCACCACGAAAGCATTTCTACTCCAACATCAAACTTGTAACATTCGATCATCATAATGCAACTAACTCTCTTAATTAGCATCAATTAAATCACAAAATTATACACACAATGACAAAAGGCAACGAGAATGTAAAGATAAAGAGAATAAACAAGAAAAAATAGAGAAAAAAAACCTGATCCTCTAGGCAGAAAATCACGCCCAACGAAGCTCTCCAACACCGATGACTTCCCCGAACTCTACACGTCATGAGCAAACCAAATGGCAAAAAGAAAATTCATATTCTTTTCCAAAAAATATTAACTAGTCATCTACTTGCATTCCTAATAAACTCTGCCAAAGAAATCAATATACATTAAAATTGAAGTGCATAGAAACGCACAAATGTTATGCATGTTCGCTGTACGAATTTATATAATCACAATTTTACTGCTACTCACTCTAAAAAAACCTTAAAAAACATTAAAAACAGAAAACACTTCAAAATCTTCCACCGGCAACTTCTGAAGCCTCGACTCCTCCTCGGGTGCACACACAGCAAGACACAGCAGTATGTGATGCTGTAAAAAGTATATATACAGAGAGAAAGAAGAAAACCTGGCCGCCGAGGACGACGATGGTGGGAGAGAGTCCCAAAGAGTTGGCAAAGAGCCATCATCGCCATAATCACCGAGAAGAGTACAAGCTTTCTGGAGTGTATTCACAAGTCCGATCACACTTTCCATCTCGCTACATGTACCCAAGCTAGCGGGTGCCTGAGGAGTTCCGGCGTTCAAAAATTTTCCGACGCCGGTGAAGAAGAGAAGCAGTAGGAGGAGCTGGAGAAGAGGTAGGGGTGAAGTAGAGGGGAGGTAGAGAAGGAAAATGAGACAAGTAACGGAAGCTATTTTAAAATTATTATATTTTGACCTGTCAGGAAATTTTTTGTTTAGTTTTAGAGCGAGAAAGTAGAGAGTGGGCCTTTTTGTGCGGCAGTTGTTGGAGCGAAGGGATTGTGGGATAAGATGCAACTCATCCGCATATGTAACTGAGAATTTGCAGCTATGGTGGTGCCTCTCTCCATTTCGCCTCCTCTTTGTACAGATCTGAGCCTGATTGATCATTGCGTATCTCTTCTTTATATCTTTTAATTACTCGATTATTTTTGTTCCAGTCTTGTGGCACGTTGATTTATTGGTGGATGAATTCCATTGGAAACAATACATTGATAGGCCTAGAAACATCAGAAGGAACCCGGAAATTTTATGCAGCAATTATATGTTACGAAACATTAATTTTGACTTTTACTGCATTGTCATGTTACTGCATCGTCAATAAGTACAGTCTGCAGTGAATCAGCATTTGTTTGATATAATGTAATTTCTGTTTCAATTTTGGTTTTAGGAAATTGATATTGGTCATGCACTGATTAATTTCTGGCATTGATAAGCACTTCTAAGTTCCATAACTTGGTTCTTGAATTATTCACTGGACAAATCCTTACTGGGGAGACGAAGACTTTAACACATTTCACTCTTCATTCATTTTGCAAATTATATTAGTTTCTCTGATTTTGCACATGCACTTGGACTTTACCTTAATTACCCTGCTGCTATAATGCTTTGCTTTAATGGATATAGCATCAACATCTCTAAGGGCACTTTGAGCTTTGACACTGCAACTTATGATTAACTTCAAGTACCAGGTGTGCTATGTTTCTCCTCTTCCCCCTCTCCCGAGAGCTATGTTGCAGGATTTTGATAGCATTTTACTCAGCGCAACAAATATCAGTTCCAAAGAATTGTAGGATCTTCAGCATTCACATTTGGTTAATCCACTATGGTATATCAAAAGAGAGCCGATGTCAACATGTAGTAAAAAATTAGCAAAATCCTTAGTTATGTTGATTTACATTTTTTAAAGAAGACGGAGCCCAATTGTTCATTATTGCTATCCTTTGCTGTTTAGGTTTCGTTTTAAGCACATATTGCTATCCTTTGCTGTTTAAGTTTCTTTGACTCTATGGAGCATGTATCATGATATATTGATTTATGCCTTTTAATGTGCTTTGCTGTTTAAGTTTCTTTGACTCTATGGAGCATGATGTATCATGATATATTGATTTATGCCTTTTAATGTGCTTTGCATTGCAAAGCTATCAATCATCATACTTTTGAACTAAAATATTCTCGACTAATATTCCAAAACAATATAAAAAATATCACAAAAACAAATACGACTTTACTAACAGGTCTAAAGTTCCATCACATGGTAATACAAATAAAACTCAGCAACCACATGGTAAACGACCATAACAATAAACTCAGACGCAGGCATAAAACAAAAGGACCAAATCATCAAAAAGTATTACGAGTCAACGACCACACCAACAAAAACAAAATCAGCAACAGCAACAAAATAATTTCAGCATCTAAGTGGACAATATTCCCAAGTGATTTCAGCAAAGATTCAAATCTCCACACACAATAGCATCCACTCAATTCCCAAGTCGATCATGAAATTCAACCTCCTTCAAACGCATTTGCCACCACCCTCGCATGGCTCCTAGACCCAAAAATTGGAACAATTAAAGCACTGGAAAACATTGAAAAATCCCCACAAAAATGAAGATAAACCACCACCACTAGTTTACCTTTAACTGAAATAACAATGGTTAAATCATACTAAACTAGAAACGTCTCATCTAGGGGGGGGGGGGGGAAGAATGATCATCTCATTTTTGCAGCAGACATGGAATGAGCCTAAATGGCCGCCGATACTTGATATCTGTAATAATCACATGGAACAACTATTTTCAAGGGCCTTCTAGTTGAATAACCACACCATAACAAAATGTTTTGCACAACCAAACAATCAGTAAATCAACTATCATGAGCCAACCATCTGTTAAATTACATCATATCAGAATGAGAACCAGAATCAGAATATGATTCATTTACCATGTGATCAGGCTGCTGAAAACATGTCAATCTAATTGGTTTACAACTTAAAAACTAATGACCAATTGAGATGGTCCTAACTCCAATCCTTAGGCAACGTGCCCACGTTATACCGAGTATTCGATTAGTTATTGCCCTGACAATTTAATTTAGCAGTCACAACTCCCTTACAGAGGCCAGGTATTAAACTTGATAAACAACAACGGCTCGTATCTGTTGCACATCTTCTTTATTTTTCCCCCACTTTTTACGAGGGAAACCCAAGTGCAGTTAACAGACACAGCAGAAACCCAAAAAGGGCCAAAAAAGTAAAAAGTGAAATTAGCACCATGCAGGGAAGAAAAAACTACCAAAATCGTGTCAGTCTGCAATGGGTGGTGGTGGCGGCGGCAGCGGCTCCAGGCTGGTTGAAGGAAGAAATTAGGAGCATAGCGTTAATAATAGGAATTGGTTGCAACTAGCAGGTAGAAGTCTCGGTGGTATTGGTAGGTGGCAATGAAGGGTTAGTGAGTGATGGACCGGTGGGTATAAGAGTATCGAGAATGGAGACGAGAGAGAACAAGAAAACAGCGGATTAAGTTAAGGTGAAAGGTGGAAAGAGTGAAATTAGTGGAGTGGTGTAACTACGAACCCTATTACGGTAAAAAGACTTGTGTACCACGGTTTCCAATCATGAGAAAATCTCAGCTCAGCTCCTTTAAAATTCAAACCCTATTTCGTAAGCTGAGCATGAGCTTATCCAAAAATTGAACCCAGCCTTTGCTACGGGATCTTTGCAGCCCTAAAAGTCAGAGAATCTTTCGAGCTTTTGTTATTATATCCAATTATGACACTACTGTTTAATCTAAAGCTTTTTTTTTTTTCTTTCTTTTTTAACAGATTATGACACTACTGTTTAATCAAAACTATACATAATATTTTCATCAGTCCATATGAGACAAATCCTGTTTTATAGGCCAACCATGCATCTTCAGTAATGAAACCAAATCTGAATTCAACAACTAAAAGATTCTGCTTAGGACTCCACACTCCACCCAGTACATGCTTAGGACTCCAAACTTACTTGCTGCAACCAAATGCCAGAAGCATTGTCAATATTGACAACTCCAAAATCCAGGGCAAGTTGCAGATTTATGTCACAATCTCTACTACGGTACAACTCATTTTTGGCCAATATATCTGGTGAAAACCAAAAAGTTTTCTTTTTACTATAAGAAACATAATTAACACCTAGGCCAACTACTTACTGTTTGCCATCCAGCAGGCAATGCACAGCCATTAGTGGCAACCAAAGCAGGAAAGTAACAAAATGGACAAACAACACATCCACACTACAGAAGCCGAAAGAGATCAATATAAAGCTACGATGGTACCTTAGGAATTTTAAGCCTGCAAAGGTAGACTTTCCTATCACCCCCAGCAGCAGATTCATGCACACACGCTTGGAATTCCCCCACATCACCAGTATTGAAATCCTTGGCCACAAAGGTCAAATAGAACTTGGCGCCCCCAGCTGTAGTGAGAACGCAATTCAAAATCTTGCCTGCTCTAAAGCCAGTTTGCTGCCAATTTAATAATTTTTTTTTTCAAAAAATCATAGTTAAAAAAACAGCGGAGGAAGAAGAAGAAGAAGATTAACATAACCAAAATGAATAAACAGACAAAAAAAGGCAAAAGCGTACATACATTTTTCTTGTTATAGTGAATAATAGCAGTATTCACCCTGTTCTTAACATATCTGTAGAAAAAGCCATCAGTCTTCAAGTCTTCAAGACAGTTAAAAAAACGGCCTCTCGTCTTCTCCAAATTAAACACCTGTGCAATTGTGTGCATGTATATAGGCATTTATAAGCTCTGGATTCAACAGATAGTGTGGATATGTCATAAAAAAAGGTACGAAATTGTATACCACATCATATATTTCTCCAATTCTTCATTTTTTATACACCATTCATCCAAAAAGAAAGGATCGAACAGGAAAGCGTGGTGTTCGGACCAGTCGGACTCGGACTCGGACCCTGACCCCGACCCGTCGGGCTCGATTCGGACCCGTCAGAATCGGCCTCGTCGGACTCGGCGCCGCGCACGTACTCGTAATCCTCTCCGGACTCGTAATTGGTGTCGAGGTCGTCAAACTGAAGTCCATCCCGGTTTAGGGATGACATTTCGCTGGAAGAGGATGACTTTCCTTGGTCGGCGTCCTTGTCCGCTACTTCTTCTCCGTCGATTCCTCGATCCTCCGCCGCTGGTTGATAAACTCCAAGTTCTTCGTCGGAGGAAAGTAACTTTCCCGGATCCATCTGAAGAGGAAAAAACCCTATATTTTTTGGTTGATCATAAAGTACAATATGCCGACATCACCTTAACGGCTTAACCATAGCACCTTATAAGTTGGGCTAAGAGACAGTGGCAAGGTGATTACCTGATTGTGTATCCTTTGAGAGAGGTGAATTGGAAATTTAAAGACTAAATATGGACACTCAAGAATTCCCCTAAGATTTTTGACAATTTCACTGAGCTCCCCTAAAGTTTGAAAAATTACACTTATCTCCCTTATTTTGATAGTTTTAGTAACAAAATATTAAAATAATTTTTTGAATAATTTTTTAATTGAACGCCCAAACATGCCCTTATGGAATGAGTTTTAATTTATTTTCCTATACAATTATAAGATTATTTAGTATAATTATAAGGAAAAGGTGCCAAATTTTTCATGTTCATATCTATTATTTGATAAATAACTATAATAATAATTTTATTACTATGATATGATATTTTTTATGATATTTTATTATGGATTTAGATTTATAAGATAGAAAAGAAAATATTAAAATAATTCATTTTGAGTTTATAAATTTTTGGAGTAGTGGGATTATCATAATTTGGTAGTGCTTTTGGGTAATTTTTTTTATTTATTATTAAGTTTAATACCAATAAATAGAAAATAAAGATCAGCAAAAACATTGGACTACATATAAAATTAACTCGTAAAAAAAAATCACTAGTTCGACATTTGGTTATAATAGAAACCTAGAGATAATAGTGATAGTTCTACGGTTTTATTGATGAAAAGTTTAAAAAAAGGAAGAAGAAGGAAAAAGAATGAAAAAATAATTTTAAAAATCATTCTAAGTATAAGCATACCAAATAAGAGAATTTCATTAAAATATTTAAAGGTAAAATTATTATTTTAAATGATAAGGGAGGTATGTGTAATTTTTTCAACCTCAAGGGAGCTCAGTGAAATTATTAGAAATCTCAGGGGAGGTTTGTGAAATTATCCCATAACTTTTTTACCAAATATTATCACACTACTACAGGAACTTTAGATAGAATATAGGAGTAGCTATTAGCCAAATACTAAGGAATAAGCCTAACAATAGATTCCCTAGGAGATCATTGTGATTTACCCATTGTCAAAGCGGGAAAGGGACAGAAATGATTTTCAACACAATTATTCTTAAACGGTGTAACATCTTATAAATAAGTTATAATTCATTATTAACTATTTGTGCAACATCGTGACAGATACGTAATTATTATGTATGAGCGTCATATGAGCTGTAATTAAATGTCACACCATTATTATAAAATTATTAAAAAAAATTTGAATAAGTTATAATTTGTTCAAACTGTATTACACCGTCCAAAAACAGTTATACCTGCTCCTTTTTCCTTCCCCTCATAGATGCATGGTAATTAGTTTTTTTTTTTTTTTTATCTTCAATGTATTTTCCTGTCAAGTCCAATAATAGTGATTCATGTAACTCTGGCATCCTATAATGCCCATGCCAGGTAAAGTTGTTTCTCCCACACAGAGGTGTTATGATTAGTGATGGCCGCATGCTCTTCCCCAATAATTTTTCCCTACATCATTGCCCTCAATTTAGCAATTGAAATGAAAGTTGCTCGAGCCAACGAGAGTAGAAAGTAACTTCAGTAAAAGATTGAATAGTTTCAAGATAATGCCTTTCAAATTTACTAAAGAAAAGTTTGATGCTTTTAACAAAAATGGACCACATCCATATGGTAGCACTTATTAGCTTTGTTATTCCTTTAATCACATCTTAGTTGAGAAGATGCGCCACATCTAGAGCTTTTATATAGGGATAAAATTTACAAATTCGTCACCACTAATAGCTAGTTTGGGGGGAAGGAAATGGATAGAAAAGAAAGGCTTTGAAAGGATAATAAATTCTTTCCATCGTTTGAGAGCCAAAAAGAGAAGGAAAAGAAAGGATTTGGACTTCCTTCACTTCTCTCTGTGTACTGGAAAACTTTCCGCCCAAAGTTGGGCGGAAAAGGAAGGAAGGGACTGTGCTTTAAGTGAAATTTTCAATATGACAATATTACCCTCAAAATCATGATACAAAAATTTTTAATTCCGGATGAGTCTCTCAGCTTACTTGATTCACATTTATTTTCAAAAAGGGCAATTTTGTAAAATAACCTATTTGAGCATCTTTTCTTTTCATCTGTTTTCAACTCCCAAACAAAAGAAAACTACTTACCTTCTTTTCTTTTTTAAAACTCCCAAACAACTTAGATAGAAACTTAAATCCTTTCCCATCCTTTCTTTTCTTTTCTAACTAACCCTTTCTCTTCTTTTCTTTTCTATTCTAAACTCCCAAACTAGCTATAAGACATAAGATGATATGGGAAAGCAATAATAAATATGCATATAGAAAACCAGTAGTCACAAGTCAATCTTACAGATCATGATATGACATCTATATATCATTGTTGATTTGTTGTCAAATTGTCACTCCCTTTTGGTAGGTATTTCTAGTTGTGAGTCTTAATATTAACTCTTGAGATTCCTCCTACGATGACTGGTTTTAAAATGCAGGGTGTGAAAAAAAGCTATTAATTTTGATCAAAGCATTCATCTTCTAGTAAAAAAAAGTTAACAAATTTTGATAACTGAAGTTTAGACCAAAATGAAAATGTTGAGAATATAAATTAAGTATCAGGTTCAAATGTATCACCTGTCACGCCAGCGTGCACCTACCTACAAAGACAGTTATGACAGCCAGACCATTCTCATTCCCATGATTCCATTTCATGCCTAGTATTCATATTCTTCTTCTTCTGGTGCGACTGAATCAAAATTCACGAAGAGATTAAGGTGAGGGAGACCAGAGAATTGATCAGAACAACGATGGCAGTTGCTAATGAGAAACCACCAATGTCTGAAGTTAAGGTTTGGAGTTTCTGTAGATTGCCTTTCTGGCAATCCACCAATAATGCAGCTGCCGGTGGTGGTGGTGGTGGCAGTGGTTCTTCATCCTTGCAGCAAAACCATCTTGCTGCTGCTGATCATCAACCTTCCATCAAGGTCGCTTCTGTGGCCAAGTCCTTTCTTCCTACTCGCCGTAGACTCGGTCTTGATCCCCCAACAAGCTCTATTTTCCCTGTATGTGGGCTAATCTTTTTTCATTGATGCACGCTTCATTCTCTCTGATGCTCTACATATATGTGCGTGAAGCTGAGGTAGTACATTTTGATGCGTGTCTTCATTGCGAATGAATCCTGCGTTTTCAACCACTTTGGTGTTCTCTTTTTCTGTCAGTGAATTGCTTTCTTTTCCTGCTATTTGTCAGTTTTATGGGTTTACCAAATTTACCAAAAGATGTATGTTTGGTTATTGGAAAACTTTAGAAGTCTCTGCTAGTGTACAGGGGCCTCTGCTTTCTTGTTTTCCTCGCTGATTTTCGTGTTGGAACTGTTCTTGGTTGATACAAGATGAACCGGGTAAACAAGTCAAAAGTGCAATTCGGATTAGAAACATCAGCAAGACTCATGTTGCCTTCAAGGTATTATATGCAGCTTTATTTTGCTTTTGCATTGATTTTATTGTCACAAGAACAAAATTTGTGATGCATCAATTTTTTGAGTTTCTATGCAGTCATCAAACTCTGTAATAATAAAAGATTTCATGAATGTATCATTTGGAAATGCTATCATCGATCACCAGCTTGAGGCTAATTATATTCTTGATTGGATTACTTGTTGCAGAATCTGGAAATGAAAGTTTGAATTTAGGCGTTGTTATTCAATGATTAAAGAAAAATGGCGACTAAATTTCAAAGTAATGACGACCATGTGGGATTAAGTGTAGGAAATCTTCAATTCAGAAATGTTTGCATCAAATGAAAGGAAATCTTCTAAACCTTTTAGAAGTTTATGTAATCAGATATGGTATAAGAAAAGAGAAGTATTCCTGAAAAGGAAATGTCAATTGACAAAAGAATGAAGACACAATGTGCAACTTGCTGAGTCTGCATTTGGTGCTCATCGAATTAGACAAAATCGATTTTGCAGAAAAGGAAAAGATTTTGCTCCATTCATCTGCTGAATGCTAAACCAATTTTAGCGAAAGAAAGTTTTCGTTTGCCCTTGAGAGTTATATAGTTCGAATGCAAGAGTTCAGTTTGGAGGACATAATCCATTCCCTATAGTAAAAAAACAACAGATATGTTGTGTTTTCATTGCACGGTAATCTAACTGCAATCTTGCTGTTGCTTTAATTAGTTCCAAACAACTGCACCAAAGAGTTGTTACATGCGTCCTCCGGGAGGCATACTTGCTCCTGATGAGAGTCTAATTGCCACAGGTAATTTCACCCTTGATCAGTATCATTCTTCATTTACTTTGTGCTACACATGGATTCACCAGCATTTGGACAATAAGGGTGTACAGATCTTCTCTTCATGCAAAATTCTGAGGTGCTTTTAATCTCTGATTGAACAGTTTTCAAGTTTGTGGAGCCTCCAGAGTCCAATGACAAACTGGATGGTCTAAAGAGCAGGGTCAAGTTCAAGATATGAGCTTGAAAGTAAAGGGAGACATGGATTATGTACCTGAGCTGGTAATTTGTTTAACCTTCCTTCATCTGTTATCAAGTTGGTGTTTTTCATAGTTCCACTTGATCATGATAATAACTTAATTGCTAAGAGTTGTCAGATATGAATTATTAGCTTCAAGAAAATTGTTGATTGGCAATAATATGATTGCATACCTGTTTTCTGTACTAATCTGC